CTGTGTCCAGCAGGTTCTAAAAATTCAAAATGTCAGCCTAGGGAGGGCCTCCTAGATCAGCAGATACTAGCCCCTCCCCTTGTCTCAGATAAACTGAGGCCCCTGTGGGGGAGGGAGAGAGTACCTGTTGTTTAAGTACCCTGAGCTTAGTGTCCATGCCAGTCGGTGGCTGAGATCGTGGGGGTGTTGGGGGAGGCACCTCTGGAGTCCGATCTCCAGGGAGGGGGCGTGCCCAGCGCTTGCTCCCTGGGTCCCTCCACGAGCACAGGAACTGGACACCGATGATAAATAAATGATGTCCTCTCACCGCTCGCGGCCGGAGCTCGCTGCTGAGCACCGGTTGCCCAGGGGGCGTCTTCTTGCAGAGCCCGCCTGGGCCGTCCATCACTGGCTCCCGCGACCTACAGCAAAGCCGGCGGGCGCGGCGCGAAGATGGCGGGGCAGTGGCGGGGCGCAGGGCCCCTCTGGGCTATGGGCGGCGCCGCGCTGGGGGTCTGCTTCGTGGGGGTCGCCGGGCAGCTGGTAGAGGTGAGGCTGGGCGGCGCGGAGGAATCTGGGCGGTTGTCACCGTCCAGGCAAGGGTAGGGATGGGGAGGCCTCTTTCAGACGGAGAGATGCTGTTTGCTTTTTCTCTTGCCCTAGGACACCCAGCTTAGGGGCACATCTTAGTGGGGACACAGCCATGCCGCAAGCTCCTCCAGGCTGTTGGGGAGACTCAACCTCTGATCTTAGAGTGCGTGGTCTGATGTGGGGGTCACAGCCCTTGTTACGGGACCCTTAGTCTGATGAGGAAAGCTCCATGCCTGTCTTCCAGCCCTTGGACTGATGAGGGGAGGAGGTGGGATGGGGTGGATAGCGACTAATGACTTTAAGGGCTGATGGAAGAAGCACAGACTTGCAGCCCACTCACAGAATCCAAAGGGAGAGCCAAAGAGGAAGGTAGCCGACCAGACCCAGAGTTGTGGAGGATAGGATAAGGTCAGAGCCAGAGCTAGAGAAGAGCAGGCATTGGAGTATACAAGAGACAGAGAGGAACACCCAAGTAAGCCTGCAGACACAGGTGCTGGAGGACAGGATGGAGTAGGGAGAACCGAACCAATCAGCCCTTGGGGGTCTGAGGGGACACGACTTTGAACTGGAGGGTCTAGAGAGGACATGAGAACACAGTCCTATACTGTGATACCAGCCTGACTCTGATGCTGACCAGGGGACTGTGCTGGCATCAGGTGACAGATCCAGGGTTCCTGTAAAGGGAGCCTGGCTAGCTTGAACCAACCTCATATATGTATGCCTGCACCTCACGTGCCTAATCCTATACTCATGTTTCTCAACCCCACATACCCACATACTCATATATGTGTTTGACCTCACACACAATTGCAGGCCTAAGATGATCCTGAGGAGGGATATTTTCCTCTCAGTGTTAACCACTCAGCTTGGGTCGACAGACCCCTGGAACTCAAGTTACAGATGAAGGAAATGAAGTCACTTCACCTTGTTGTTTTTGAGTCATTGAGTATAATTCACCCTTATAAAGAGAAACGAGCTGGGGAATTGGGTACCATTCCCAGGCAAGCGTATCCTCTGGGTCACCTGGGACTGGTCTCTGATCCTTTCCAAGCATCTCCAAACCATGCTGAAGGGTGCTCGTTAGGTGAGGAGATACCTGAGTCATGGCAGGTGCCCAGTGCATGTTTATTTATAGACCAGAGGAATGAATAGTGGATGATAAAACTGTGAGCTACCTGTTTTTCCCAGAGAACCAGAAGGGACACCTCGTGTCTATCATTATTTGTTTAATCATCTGGACACAATATATTACACAGATGCCTCTCTCCTTCTGGACGTTGACTGCTTGCTATCCACACCTCTCAGTCAAACTTAGTGACAAAGATAGAGTCAGTATACCACTCAGGTCAGGGGCAAGTCATGCTTAAATCCCCTCAGGGCAGGGCCATATGTATCCTCTCTGAGCAGTACCATGTCCACACAGAACCCAGTGCAGCACTGTGCCCACTCATATCCCCTGATTAGAACCATGGTCCCCTACAAGCACCAGAACAGGGCCATGTGTTCTTAGATGCCCGTGGTAGTGCTATGTCCCCTTAGACCCCCAGGAAGGACTGTGCCTCTCAGACCTCCAGGGCAAGGCTGTGTCCCCTCAGATCACAGGGAGGACTATATCTCTTCAGACCCCCAGGGAAAGACTATATCCCCTCAGACCCCAGGACAGAGTCGTGTCCCCTATAAATACCCTCGGGCCCCTGGGCAAGTTGGGTTCCTTCAGAATCCAGGGAAGAACTGTGTCCCCCAGACCTCTAAGGCTAGGACATGCCCCAATCTACTCACAGAATAGAGCTACGTCCCCTCAGAGCTTCAGGGCAGGGTTGTGTCTTCTCTGACCTTCATGGTAGGCACTGTCCCCTCAAACTCTGGAGTAAGGTTGGGTCCACTCAAACCCCCAGGGCAGGTCATGTCTTTCTCTAACCTCCAGGTTAAGGCTATTTACCCTCAGAGGTCCCCCTTCCCCCCACCCCAGGCATGACTGTGTCCCCTTAATCCCCTGGGAAGGGCCATGTTCCTTCAGACTCTCAGAACTGAGCCGTGTCCTTTTAGATGCCCAAGTAGGGCTTATCCCTCTCTAACCCCAGGGCAGATCTTGTCACATCAGACCTTCAAGGTTGAGCTGTGTCTCCTCAGTTCCCCAGGGAAAGGTCATGTCCCTTCTGATTCTCAGAAAAGGTCATGATGCCTCAGACCACTAAGGTAGGGCCATGTTCCCCTGACTCCCACTGTAGTAGGATTGTATCCCAAAGGGAAAGGGTGAGCTTCAGCTCACTGCAGCCGCATTTACATCTTGTGACCTCCAGGTGTCGCTGCTGCATCGAGGACAATTTGTTTATATCCTGTGAGGACTTTAGCCCAGCCTTCAGGTCAGAGGAGAGTGACTCCCAGAAGGATAGGTGATTGTATGGGGACACCTGTAGGGGTCTTGGACAGGTAATATAGCTGCATGACCCTGACTCCCAGCTCTACATGTCCACTCCACTCTGTAGAGACAGGAGGCCAAAGCAGACTCCCAACCTAGTAGATGACTTGCCTTGTCTCTGGCCTTGGTCCTGAGACCCCCATCTGTTTGTCTGGGGCCCAGGACTGTAGCAAATAAGACCTAAAGACTGCTTGAAAGGGCTGCAAACCTGACTGGGACATACTGTCCACATTTGCCTTTCTGTGTCATGGTTTCCCCAAGCATCAACCACACTGGCTCGGCAAGTTCTTGGCTCTGTGGTTCTGAGGCTGCTCAGTTCTCTTGTTTTAGATCTGTAATGTTCCAAGGTCTAGGGTGTTGGGTGTGAATGTCTATGGCACTTGATTCTAGGGGATTCTGAAATGCTTGGACTGAGCTCTTGCTGGGCCCAGGGCAGTCCTCCCTGCTGGTCCCTGTCTTGCCCCTCATCCACTTCTCTCCTGACCCACAGCCCAGTACAGCTCCGCCCAAGCCCAAGCCGCCCCCACTGACCAAGGAGACTGTGGTGTTCTGGGACATGCGCCTGTGGCACATAGTGGGCATCTTCTCGCTCTTCGTGCTTTCCATCAGTGAGTAGCCGCTCCCCACCCTCCCAACCACAGTGCACTGGAGGCACAGTCTCTCCTGCCTCCCCCCCACCCTCCCCCCCCAGCTGAACACCACCCCCAGTGGGTTCTGAGCAGCAATTCCGGGCAGTGCAAGCAGGCCAGGTGCCCGCAGGAGGCCCGCCGTGGTTTCTGGCACCTCCCGGGTCACACAAAGTCCCCATGGAAGGCTGATGGGCCGGTAGTGACCCGAAGTATTCCACTGGACCAGGAAGGCAGCCACACAGCAATTATGGTAATTACAGGGGACTCCAGTGAACCGATGACAACGCGTCATTTTTCCGTATCGTTGGCCTCCTGATATTTTTCCTGCAGTCTGGTCGGCTTAACGGGCCCACACCCAGGGGCCCCAGCAAGGCCACCCGGTGCCGCAGCTCAACCCAGAGCTTTCCCAGATGCTCAGCAGATGCAGTTCCCGGGCTTTGAACGCTGCCTTGTCAATACCATTTTCCAGGGATGGCTCACACTCTCCCCAATGAAAATCAAGAGATCTGTTCCCCCCTGGGACAGAATCGTGTGGTATAAAGCCACCGCAGAAGGGGACTTGGCATGTTCCCCTCTGCCCTCTTCCTGGAGTGGCAGTCTTGAGGTCCCCAGGGAGAGGGGTAAGGAGGCTGCCATGGCCCAGAGTGGGTCTGATGCGGGTTCCCACTGGGCACAAGGGGAGTATGTGCTGGGAGAGTATCGAGGGAGGAATAGTTCATTCTCCCACAAAGGCTTCTAAACAAAAGTGGGGTTCCTCTGAGATGGGAGAATGCAAAGGAGGTCTGGCAGAAGCAGGGAGCAGAGGCTGGCAGAGGTCAGGTGAGGTGACCCCTATAGGACATTACTGAGTGCTGCCTGGATGGGAAGCTGAAGCTACATGTAGGATCCACTGGAGCTGTCCCAAGATGAGGAGGGCAGGGTGAGCCAGAGGGCCCATCCAGATGGGAAGGGGAAGCTCCGAGGGAGGGGAGCTGTGGACATATGATTTGCATGTGCTTCTCCTGGCACCAGAAGAGCTTCCCCGCCCCCCAGTCCCTGCCATCTCGTCACAGTGGGATGGGCGCAGGGCCCTGAGCAACAGGCTACAGTATGTTCACAGCCAAGGCTGAACCAGGAAGGCCTCTCAGTGGAGGTCCCTCAGACACGCAGGTGGGGCTACAGCTTCAGCCCAGGTGTTCTGAGAGGGGCACAACCCCTGACACCAAGAGGCAGAACTGGGGTTGTGGGGGCTAAAGACACTGCCTAGGAGCAGCTCTGGGGGCCCCAGGGAGCAGGGATGAAGGCACTGTGCACCCCCAAATATACAAGGACCTCTCTTGAGTTCAGCCAGCATAGATGGAGGTGCCTGGAGCCATAAAAGAGACACTTGGACATCAACCACAGATACCCCCGACCCTTCACCCCATTTCTAGATAGTCTCCAAGTCTCCTCAGCTGTAGGTCGGCACTTGTCTCAGCCCATTGCATGGCTCTAGGGAGTGGAACTGACCCAGTGTCTAGCTCCTGGGATGGAAACAGACCTTTTCTCCTGCTCCTCAGCTAGGGCCTGGGAATGGGGCTCTTACTGGACATCGTGTAGACCCTCTTAGAGGGACTGGAGGGACTGCTTCTGGGGGCCTTACATCTCAAGCCTCTGCCTGGGCCCCAGAACTCATTCCAAGGCACTTTGTTTCTTCCCTTCTTGAAGAGAAGCAGGAGGACAAAGCTGGGAGGGGCAGCCCTGCAGTGTGGGCAGTCACTCCTGGAATAACAGCCTCTGAGGTGAGTGCTCTGGTGTGATACTGGAGGATCAGCATTGGACTGCTAACCTAAAGGTTGCCAGTTCAAGCCCACCAGCCGCTACTTGGAAGCCCTCTACAGGGTTACTCAACGGCACTTAACTAAAGTGAATGCTGGACAGATCTGTGCCCTCTCACCAGCTCTTTGCCCAGCCAGAAGGAGGCCAGACTTTTCCTCAGTGAGGCTGAGGAGAACACAGCCATGTACTTCAGTGCCTCTAAAGATGGTGTTTAAGCTCTGCCCAACCGCCAACAGTTCCCTGCTGAGCCCCTTTTAAAACCTCAGCCTCCTCTACCTGGGGGCCAGCCTACGTGGAGAGCTTGGGAGGACAGGGGTCTAAGTAAGCACCTAGTGACATCTGGGAAAGGAGGACCAGCAAGCAGGGTCAGGGTGGGGAACCGACTATGGGCCTGGGACATGTTCACAGGGATGTGGAAAAGACTTGCTGTCTGCTCACATCTACTGTAGGGGCCCCCTGCAGCCCCCATGGATGCCATTGGCTTTCCCATCCATGCATTCCACTGGCTTTCCCATCCATGCATTCAGAAATCTGGTCCTGCTCTCAAAAGCTAAGGCTTTGAGACCGTTTCATCCATCCATTCATTCATTTTCTTTCTTTCTTTCTTTCGGAATCTGAGGAAGAGTGCTAGGGCCACAATATTTGGTTGAAGGGGTACTGTCTTGCCTTGTGGCAGAGGGCTGCTCAAGATGGCCCCAGAGGTCCAGTTTAGGCTACTTAGGTCTGAAGCATCCTCCCCAAAATAGTTCTGGCTTGTCCTGCCTGGACCTTCCTACCCCCAGGAGCCTGCCAGGAAGTTATGTCTGGTCATCGGATTTATAATAGGAACCAGCTCCATCCCCTCCCTTGGGGCTGGGGCCAAGGTGGTCAGACTGGGGGCCTTAGAAAAATAAACTTGGTCCAGCCAGGCCCTGGCAGCTCTGCCCTGCCCTGCCCATCACCAGACAGGCCAGCTCCATGCCCTGGCACAGCTGGCGTGGGCGCAGCTGTCCTCAGTCGGAAAACCACTCCTGGAATAACTCCCTTTGAGGGAAACGCCCAGATTAGGGTCTGTGCCCTCTCACCAGCTCTTTGCCCAGCCAGGAGGCCAGGCTTGTCCTCAGGGAGGCTGAAGAGAACACAGCCACGTATTTCACCCTATGAGGCACTCTGGCCCTGCTCTCAGAAGCCTGGCAGGAAAAGCTGGGATGCTCTGGGAGCCTAGAGACCTGGGTCCTCTAGGAAGCTGTAGCTTGGGTTGCAGCTCTATTCCCTGCCCTCCAGGAATTCTCAATCTAGTCAGAAACCCTAGTCAGTAAGACTCCCAAAACAGGACTGGCTACATAATTTTTGAATGCACAATGAAAACATGAGGATCTTTGTTCCAAAAATTAACAATTGTAAGTTGGTGACATTGAAGCATTAAATCAAGTAGAGACCCTTCTAAGCCAGCCCTGTTCAGGAAAGACATCTTGGGTGTTGCGCCTCCCTCCAGAGTCTCTTGGCTTAGACTCAGGGATGATGAAGCAGGCATGAAGCTCGGGTGTCAATGCTGTGTTGTCTGAGCCCAGCCCCCAGTCAAGCCTGCTCTGTCCTCCTACAGTTATCATCCTGTGTTGTGTCTTCAACTGCCGAGTGCCACGGACCCGGAAGGAGATCGAAGCCCGGTACCTGCAGCGGAAGGCTGCCAAGATGTACACGGACAAGTTGGAGACTGTGCCACCCCTCAATGAGCTCACAGAAATCCCTGGAGGTGAGTGGCCCATCTCCCCAGCCCCAGCCACCATTTGACCCTGCTGAGCCAGCCACTTTCTCAATTCACTGCCCTGAGTTGCCAGCTTCCTTCCATCTACGAAGCAGGTAGAGAGGGGCCTGCTCTCCACATAGGTAAGGTTTGGAAGGACTTAAAGAGCACGCTGTGGGAGGCTCTGTTCCTGCCTGAGAGCCCTGGGCCCTGGGCCCTTGTCTCTGTCCTGCCTCATGGCCTCTTTCCTCTACCCAACAGATGATAAGAAGAAGAAGGAGAAAGGCAGTGTGGACACAGTGGCCATCAAGGTAGAGGAGGATGAGAAGAATGAAGCCAAGAAGAAGAAAGAGGAAAAATGAAGAGAACTTCCTGGCAGGCCCTCAGGCTCAAGCCATGGCCATGGTCCAACCACCTTGGACTGTGAGCTCAGCTGTGGACCACAGAGGTTGCAGAACATCCACTCCCTGCTCAGAGGAGAAGCTAAGGCCTATAACCTATCAGGGCCAGGGACAAGGCTGCATCAGATGTCCTGTCTCCCAGTCCAGACTCCGCTCCTTGCACCCCCGCCTTATGTGACCTTGTTCTCCTCAGCAATGCTGTTTGGAGCCACTGCCCCCCTGTAGATGCAGAGCACCCTCACTTCTCTCCCCACCCAGACATGCTTGTCCCACCACTTCTGCCAGGAACAGCAGTGGCTATGACCAAGTATGGGATATGAGGTTCCCTCTCTGAAATTCAGAGAGTGGCTGACCTGGATGTGTTGTGAGGAGGCCACATCCAGACTATGAGGAGGGAGAAGGGTCTCTGGGGGAAGTCCGGGCAGCAGGAGCTTCTCAGACTCAGCCAGATTGTCACCCTGCTGGTTTGGCAGGAGTCTAGACCAAGAGAAGTAAGCAGAGGTGACCTCAGAGGGAAAGAAACCCGTCCAGCAGATACCAAGCTCCCGGCAGTAGGATCCACTTTTAGAAGGTGTCCACATTGTGCTGGAGTCAAGGCTTTTGGGAGGCCAGTCGGAGCCCAGGGCTCAGGGATAGAGGCTGTAGCCAAGGGTGCCTTGGGCTGTCATGGGTGGCCCTTTCTATGCTCAGCTGTGGTGGGAGTTTTGGGGGCCCTAGGTGGTCACAGCAGGGGCTGGTGGCAACCAGCCTTTCAACTGCTGATTATAACAGCACACAGCTTCCTCTTCTACCATTTTCAACTAGGAGGCTTAATAAAAGCAACAGTGATCTGAAGGCAAAGGCCCAAACGACCACCTGGTGACTAATCCTTGGGGAGGGAAGACGCAACTAGTCCTCTTCTCCCTCCCCAACCCCCAGCCTGGCATCAAATGTCAGACACTCAGACCAGGACCTGGAGACCAAGGGGACATCAGGGAAGGTTTCTAAGCTAGGGGAGCATGCTGGGAATAGTCTCGCTGCCTCTGCAGCCCGCAGGGATTTGTAACTAAAGCCGAGAGCCTTCTCAGAATTATACCACACAGTAAACTCTCTAGTAACACGAACCTACAAGAAGCCCAGTCCCTGAAGCACTTATGTGGAATGGGATGCAGCAGTTGGTGACAGGTATAACTCAGGCCAGGCTGGAGCTCCCTCCCTTGACTCTTGGTGTAGCCTGAATTAGGATGAGATTGAGGCGGACAAGGGGTTATGGGACAACTGAAGCTACCTGGCCCATGGGCATTAATTAGCAGTCATCAGGACTGGGGAGGAGACTGCTTGCTGTACTGGGCACTGGATTGATGAGGTTCCTCTTCCATCACCTCTGCTCCACCCCTGGCTATCAATAGGCCTTCAACTGCTGCACTACATGTTAGCTGTTCGAACCCACACAAGAAAGGGCTAGCAATCTGCTTCCCTAAAAACTGCAACCAAGGAAACCTAGTGGGACACGTCTCCTGTGGAGCACACGGGGTGGCCTGGAGTTGGAAGTGACCTGATGGCAGTGAATTTGGTTTCTTGCTCTGTTTTGTTGGGGTGAGCCCGGTGCTGGAAACACGGAGGAGTCAAGCCTGGATCCGGATCCTCATTACGAGGAGAGTGCTTCAGGCTGTCAGGAGGAGGAGCACAGGGTCTTAGGAACCGGGAAAGGGCAGGGACATAGCAGAAGGCCCTGCTAGAATCTGAGTTCACCATCACTAGGAAGGAGTAATTGGCTGACCTCTGCCATCAAAGGCCAGCCTGTGAGTATCTCATATGTAGGGTCATTCCACCCATGCCGGCCATAGCCCTTCCTTGTTGCCAGGCAGTGGAATCCCAGAGGGTCACAGAGAGGCAGCAGTAGAGCCTGGGTTCCATCCACTCTAGCAGCTGCCTCCCTGGCCTTTGAGCTGGGCCTCCACCTGTCCTTTATGGGCAGGCATGGATGCTGATGGTGGAGGTGATGCCCGAGTCTCCAGGCATGAGGCAGGGCTGGAAGGGCTCAGTGGCGCTTCTAGGGCAATGGCAGGGAACTCTCACCACTGGCCAGGAGGCAGGATGACAGTGAGGAGAGCCTGATTCCACTAGAGCATCAGTGAAAACACACCCACCACCCAGACCCAGAGCTGGGACCCTCACCCCAGCCTCAGCGTCTGCCCTGACAGCCCCAACTTCAGTTCTGGGCCTTCCATCATGGAATTCTAACATCACTCCTTCACACTCCTAAGGAGTCACCTGAACCTTTGGAAGGAGGTAGATCCTGCAGGGTTCTATGTTTTTCAGTATAAACTGACTAGGCTCCTCCATCCCACCTGCCTTGGGTTCGCCCTTCTCCCACTGGAGCAGGCCCAGGGAGCAAGAGGCCACCAAGGTCCAGAAGAAGGAAGCATGGGGGAAGAGAAGCATTTAATTGAGCACCTACTCTGCAGTCCCTTGTAGGGCTGTAAGGGTGACAAGGGGTCTGAGTGGAAGAGGGTGATCCCGGGACAGACACAGAGTGTCAGAGAGCAGCCAGGAGGCTGAGGGGCAGCGGGAGTGCCAGGAGCAGGGCCCTGGACGGGACAGGAAGGGCCAAGGGCTGCCCATTGAGACGGTCCCAGATCCACTGCTGGTAGGCAGAAACTTGCAGGTAGATGGGTGGGGCATCACCCTTGTTGCAGCCTGGGCCCCAGCTCACCATTCCCACCAGGTACCACGTGCTCTCCACAGGGCAGCTTAAGGGCTCACCACTCTTCTCCTATGGGGGCAGGAATAAGCAAACAGGGTCAGGGAGGTCAGGGGTCATTTGAGAGACACCTGCTCCAGCTCAGGAATGAGCAAGGGGCCCTCACACGGGGACCTTCCAGTGTCAACATAACTGAGGGGACCCAGAAGACCTTCCTCAAAGGGGTTCCTCCCTCATCTCTCCTATCCCCAACCTCCAACCCCATCTTTTTAGTACCTACTCTCCACCTCCCATCTGCCACCCTATCTCTCATTCCAAACCACTACCCCCACCCCCATCTCTTCCCACTCCCTCCCTCTCTCCTTGTCTCCCCCACAGCCCTCGACTCCTAGCCAGGTACCCTTGGGGTGAGTGACTGGGGGAAGAAGAACGCAGGAGGTGCTCACATAGCAGAAACTGTCCCTCTTGGTGTCCTCTGCACATAGCATTTGAGAGTTGACAATCCGAACAATAGTGGGGATTTGGGAGAACCGGTGGTACAACGCATCACATTCCTTGTTGTTCAGAATGGTGACTTCCTTCTCCTGAATGGACCGGAACTGGGGCCATATGCCTGTGAGACAGGGGCTCTGGTTCACATTTAACTGCTTGGCCACTGTCCACTGCCACAGGCCTTGTCTCCACCCTCCTCTGCTCTTCTTGATCCCCCCAGCCTCTCTCACTTGCTACACAGTGGCCCCAGAAATCTCCCCAGACACAGCGCACCAGCCATTCCCACAGGCCCCTAGATGCAGAGACTCTGAGGCAGACTGTGCCACCATGTGGCTGGCCCTGCTGATCCTAATCTCACTTCCTGCAGAGTCTAACCCTCTGTACCCACTGGGCTTCCTCCATTCTTACTTAGTATTTATGTTTGTGTGTTATCCTTTTTAACCCAAATGCCTGCCAAACCTCTCTCAGGCCCAAATCCCTCCTCTTTCCTTCAAGTTCTTCCTAAAGGCCACTTCCTCCTCTGAGTTTCCCTAGGTTCCCCTCCATGGAGCCCAGGCACTATATACTCCCCTCCCCACCTGTGTGTCTCTGTCCCTGGCCTGAGCTCTTGGGGGACCAGAGACTTCAAACCATTCCCAGCCTTTCCCTAGACAGGCCATGGCAGGGATGACAAAAAGTCATGCTACCTCCCCCTACCCGGGCTGTGATCCTGTGGGTTGCTTTTGACTAAGTTGGCTTCTTAAAGTCCCAAAGACAAGCACCTCTCTTGTGGGAAAGAAATGGGGGCTCCCTGAAGGAAGTGGGCATCCCTGGGGCCCATCAGAAAAAGGACCTTTGGATAAGTCTGAGAGAATATGCCTGTTCTTTGGGCCTTGCTCCTAAATTGGGATGACAAAGGATTGAGGACCATCTGTGGGGAGGGGAAAGCCATGAGTAGATCGTAAGTGATTCCCAACCTTGGGGGCAGACCGCCCCTAGCCAGTGACCTGGGGTCCTCTAGGGAACTTTTTACAGACATAGAACTCTGCTTCTCTCCCCATGGATGTTTTGCTTTAAGTTGCGAGTGCCTGGACCCCCAGGATCTAGCTATAGTGCACGATATTACTTAGAGAAGTTCTCTGCACATGCCCTGAGGCCCAAGTGGCCATGAGTCAGTCACTAATGAGACCCTTCAGGAGAAGGAGGCCCCATCTTTAACCACGATAACTTTTCAGCCAGCACCCAGGTCCTCTCTCTCTCACCACCCAGCTTGGGAGGCTTCAGACTCACCATTCGTCCTCGGGAGTCCCCAGCCTGTCACAGTACAAAGGGAACGATCCTTCACCTCAAAGTCCAAGCCAGGCAGGCAGATGGGCCAGACATACTTGTTGTACTTGAGTGCTGACTGCAGCTTGAGGAGACCGATGTTGTGGGCACGGCCAACCCACGACCAGTACCTCCGGGACCGGAATCCTCTGTTCACAATGACCTGGCTGACTGGGACATTGTGGGCATGCTGCAATGGCTCGTCCATCACCGAGCTCCCCACCAGCACAGAGTAGGCAACATTACGCCTAAGGGAACCAGAAGGGAAGTCTGCAGTCAGCTCCAGGCACCCTGCTCCAGCCTCCAATCCCTAACCTCCATCCTACGGTTGTCCTCTGAGCAAATCCCAGCAGGCCACCCCCACCCGATCCCCGTCCTCACAACAGATGTGAACAGAGAGCTGTTCACACACTGTGTGAGCCAGAGTTCACAACAGCCCTTCATGTCATAGAGGAGGAAACCGAGGTTCAGAGAAGCCCAGTAACACACTCAGGGCAGTGCAGGAAGTGGTGACACTGGGATGCAGTCTCAGCCTTCTCTGGTTTCAAATTCTAGACTCTTCCCAGTGTCCCATGCTTCCCCTGGACGTGATGGAGGTAGTCATAGGCCTGCTCTCCAGCCTGTCCCAGCATGCCCTCTGAGTCTTCATGCTGGCCCTTAGACCAGCACCACGCCACATGTCTGGCACAGAACATCCTTTGTACACACACCAATAAGAATGGCCAGTCTGCCTGCCCCACTAATCATGAGAGGAATGATGTGTGCCCTCTCCACCCCCAATGCCAAAGGGATGCCAAAAATTGTTGGTTGAATAAATAATGGATAAGAGAGAACAAAGGCTATGGCATGGATAAAGGCTATGGATAAGAGAGAACAAAGGCTAAGGCCACTTCCTGTAGAGAGGAAGAAGGAGGCTTAGCTTCCAAGCCTCCATTTTCTATCTATGGAATGATGGCACACAATTGAGGGGTAGGGCAAGGGGAGAACAGGGTATGCTTGCTCAAAATGACTGGAGATCACCAGCTTGGAGGACAGTTACTGCTGCTGGACCAGCTGAGTGGACAGCACATCTTTCTGTTTATCCCACCACTACCACCCACCTGGACCCCAACTCACTGGACCAGGCAGTGGGCCACAACCAGCACCCACTGGGAGGCAATGAGGGTACCCGCACAGATATGAGTGCCGTTGGCCCGCACGCTGACCATCCATGGCCACCGCCGCGCCATGGCCAGTGGGTCTCTGAGGGTGGGGTCCTGTTCGAAGGAGAAGCCGCAGGCTGAGGAGACATCAAGAACTTGGTGAGGGATGAGCCCTTCCAGTCACATCCCATGACACTCCCTACCCTCTATCCTTGGCCTCCCGTCTCCCCAATCACACACACATCCAATCATTTACCTTTTCCTCCCTCTTCTACTAGGAATGATGTACAGACTAGGGTGTCCAGCCTCAGTATGCTCCCAGCCCTGCCCAAGTATCCTTCGCCCTGTTCCCAAACTCCAGCCCCAAGAGCATCCTTAACTGACCAGTCCAGTGCACCACCAGGCCTTCCATCCTAGCCAAGCACCCCATCAGTTCCCATCAGACCCTTCACCAACGCATCCATGTTTCCACGTGATTTCACCCTCACCTCCCTCTTCTTTCTCAGTGGTTATGTGCCCTCTCCTAACACCAAGGCAGACCCCTCTTCCTTCTCTAGGAAGTCCCTCCTGTGATTCAGTGAGAGAAAGGCCAATGACTCAACAAATGACCCTCAACAAATGACCCATCTCAAGGAGGAAAGCCTAGTGGTGAGGGTACACAGAAGCTGGCTACTCCATTAGTTCTCAGTGAAGTGCAAACTCAAATTACATTGAGGTTCCTTTCTACACTAATCATGTGTTTGTGAGGATGTTCATCCCAGAATGTTCACCTGCTGCTGTTGGGGCTATCGACTGAAGCAGCCACTTTGGAAAGCATTTTAAAAATTGAAGATGCTCATGCCAAGCACGGTGTTTTCCAAATGGATTCATGGTTTGTGAAATCATCATAAAGGGCCTGACCAGCTTTTGTGACGGATGTCACTGTTGTTATTAAGTACCATCAAGTCAGTTCTGACTCATAGTGACCCTATATAGCAGGGGTGGGGAACCCTTTTTCTGCCAAAATTTATCACACCATTCACAGGCCATACATAAAATTATCAACTTAAAAATTAGCCTATTATATTTGGTCAACTATTTAACTAACTCACCCCTAATGTGATGGTGGGATGCTGGTATGGCAATGTGGGTTAACACGCTGGACGGCAAGGTCAGTTTGAAGCATAAAATCAGCAATCCAAGCTCACCGGCCGCTCCTCAGAAACCCTATACAGGGTCTCTGTGAGTCAGAACCGACTCGATGGCACTTAACAACAACAACAATGTGATGGCTGGAAATGCAGTTGCCTTGGCAGGGCCAGACCAGATGATTTCACAGGCCGGATATTCCTCACCCCTGCTGTATAAGGTTTCTGAGGAGCTTCTGGTGGGTTTGAACTGCCAAGGTCAGCAGTTCATTACTTATTGTTTAGCACCACGCCAACACTCTGAAGCAAATGGAAGGTGGCAATATCAACGCGCATAGCAGAGTGTAAGTCCCTTTTGTGAGGCTTTCTGGGGGAGTATCTTGTAGGCACTCAACTACTAGCCAAAAGGCTATGGGTCAAAACCACCCAGAGATGCCTTGGAAATCAGGCATGGTGATCTGCTTCTGAAACATCACAACCATGGGTGGCCACGTGTCAGAATCCACTCAAAGACCACTAATAGTAACAAATGTGGGCACTGAGTCCCAGATATACCAGGAGACTTGAAAAAGTTTGTGGAAAAATTCCATGAACTTTTTGAAGCCCTTTCGTGTTTCTTCTTGTGGTCCGTTAGTGCCCCGGGACAGGACGGGCTCAGTTATGCTCAGCAGCTCAGAAGGCTAGAACTTGCTGCCAACGGCATCACTTTGACCCCCAACTTCTCTTGCTTCCTATCTCGCCAGGATAGAAGGGCCCTAGGTCTGGCCGTACAGGCAGGAAATGGGCCTGGCCCACAATTGTTGTTGTTGCTAAGTACCATCGAGTTGGTTCTGACTCACAGCGACCATATAAGATTTCCGAGGAGCGGCTGGTGGGCTTGAAACGCTGACTTTGGGTAGCAGTAGATTTACAGCCCCGGAAACCCTGTACAGGGTCTCTATGGGCCGGTACCAACTCGATGGCACTCAACAACAACAATTATTCTAAAGCATCACACCAGGACTCAAATTGTTGTTGTTGTTAAGTGCCGTTGAGTCAGTTCTGACCCGGACCGACCCTGTATAGGGTTTCCAAGAAGCGACCCGTGAGCCTGAACTGCTGACCTTGCGGTTCAAACAACTTTGCAGTCTAGCTCACCAACCCACAGTGTCGCACCAGGCCTCCAGGACTCAAACAGATACTCAATACACATTTGGAGAAAGATGGGCTCTTCCATCTCCACTCCGACTCTCTCCCTTCTGCCCCCAGTCCACGGCACTCACAGGGGAGTAAGTCTGATGTGTGGTTTCTACGAGAAGCCGCATCCAGGACGCTCTGAACAGGCGCCCGGGTGGTCAGGTCCTGCCTGGGAACACGAGGCCTGGGGGCATAGGGCTCTGCTTCCCAGTCTTCACCCGTGCCCAAGCAACCTGAGGAAGGGCACAGAATGAGTCAGAGGTGGGTAAGGTGAGGCCTGAGGGGTAGGGGCAGGGACAGGGGCAGGGGCAGGGCTTACCTGGGAGCCTCAGCAATACCAGCAGGAAAACAGAACAGATTCCGGAGGGAATAGATGAACGGCATGGAGACCCCTGCCCTCGGGCCTGTGTCCTGCTCCACAAATCCATCCGGACATAGAGGTGACGGTGCCACGATGCCCGCTCCAGATAGTACCTGGCCTTTGATGGCGCCCCCCAGTGGTCGCCAGCAACTGAGCTTCTGGTGCCCAGTCTGTAAAGGCGCCCTCCAGTGGCTGCACGTGGTGACATTCCTGGTGTCTGGCGGGTGAGAGCGCCCCTAGTGACTAGACTCCCTTCCCGATGCCTCCAAGACTGATGTCTGTCTGGTCTTGAGGGTACCTTACTAGCTGCTCTAGCTACAGCTTCTGCCCTACTTGAACCTTCCTTCTCTCACTTCTCTTGGTCAAGCATTTTCCTGGAATTGATAAATCTAACCTTGGCCAGTTCCTGTACTCCCGGTCTCCATCCCCAGCAGCCTATATAGTCTTGACCAGGTTCCTGCTGTCTCCTCTCCCCATCTCAGGGTGAGATGAAAGTGAATCCTCTGGGCTGGCAGAGGGACTCTGACCCAAGTCACTGACACTAAGCAGATTAAAGTGTTTTTAAATAATGCTTTTTAAAGTATTGCATCATTTTAAACAAATCTCCTTTCCCATTCCCTCCTTCACAGATCCATCTTCCTACACAAGGTGAGGTTTCCTTCCATGGAGAATGATGGCGAACTATGCAGGTCTGGGAACAGGAGGTCGCTTTCTTCAGAGGTTGGAATTTGGGGAACATTTCAATGATTCAATGACACCATTGGAGAATACATTTTTATAGTAGTATGGGGAAGTCCTGCAAGAATCTTTAGTTCAAAGTTGTTGGGAAAATTTCAGCCTAGTAACAGATGAACGTTGAAGCAATCTAGGACTTTTGAAAGGACCTGGTCTTAGGAAGAAAGGAGCCCTGGTGGTGCAGTGGGTAAGCGTTGGATGCTAACCAGAAGGTTGGTGGTTCAAACCCACCAGTTGCTCTGTGAAACACGTGACAGTCTGCTCCTGTAAAGATTTACAGCCTTGGAAACCCTATGGGGCAACTCTACTCTGCGCTACAGAGTCATTCAGAGTCAAAATCACCTCAACAGCCATGGGTTGTGGTCTTGGGAGGAGGAAAGAACCCCCTGAGGAGGGGGAGTGCAAACAGTTAAAGGATTCAACTATTACCCAAAAGTTCATGGTTCGAACCAACCCAGAGGCTCCTTGGAAGGACTGATGATCTGCTTCCTAAAAGTTGCTGTCTTAAAAATCCTAAAGAGTGGAGTTCTACTCTGCAACATATGGGATTGCCAGCAACTGGTTTGGTTTTTGTGGTCTTGGGAAAGATGTTCAGGCTGTCCATACAGCACTCCAATCTCTGAGAAGGGAAGTGAGTGGCACGGAAGCGTATGGGATCTTCAGGTGTGAGGAACTCCTACAAGACATGCACAAAGGAGGAGGTTTCCGTCTCCTCTCAACCTGTCTAGCTTGGGCCAGCTTGTCCTCTCTCTCCAGCCTCTGACCTGATGGTCACTAAGGCAGCTCAGATTCAGGCACCACACACAATTCATCCAAGCAGGTCCTGCCCTTTCCCATCCCCTGCCAGGATGTGGGGCAGGGAAGGGAGAGAAGAACGGGTCAAGTTCTGCAGTCCTTTCAGGGGGATCTGAGGGGCTAGGAGAGCCCAGGAGCTGCAGAGCACAGTCATAATTTGGGTCTGCAATCTGGCCATTATGAGTTCCTCAGGACAAGGCCCACTCTCACAGGAGGGCTCGAGGGAAAGTATGTGTCAGAGACCCATGGGAGGGCCACAGGGACCTTGGGGATGGCTAGCATGCTGGAATGACTAGCAGACACTGGGGATCCCAGAGTTCAACCTCCTCTCTGTAGAAAAGGAATTGTCACCCAAGAAGAGAGCAATGTTCCAAGAGCACATTAAAAGTACCAGATGGACACAGATTATAATCCAGGTGTCCCCATCTGACAAACTCAGGTTGAGAGGCCAGTCAGGCCCTGTTTGGTGGGAAGTAGGAGAGAGCGCTCTCTGAAAAATGCCCAGGACTCTGCAAAAGTCAAGAAGAAAGATGACTTCAGTGGCTTGGAATTCAAGAGCATCTTCATTGAACAGCAGAGAAAATTAGTGCTGCGGGACCCTCCTCCAAGGACACCAGGCCCCTATGTTCTGTGCCTCTCTGGTCTCTATATCTGATGGCCAAACAGAAGGAGGGGAGAAGTGGCCTCCAGGAATGTCCACTCAAGGACCACTGCTTACAGGAGCCACAAGGAACCCAAAGAGACCAGCAAAATGTAGCCAGTGAGGATGACTGGGCTCAGGAAGGCAAGGCAGGCCTGACTGGTGAACTTCACATCAGAGACCTGATTCTTGATCCATCTGGTGAAGGAGGAAGTGCTGGTGTAGATGCTTGGTAAATGGGACCGACCGCAGCTGAAGCCCCAGCTCACCAACCCCACCTGGATCCAGGTCTTGTTCACTTGGCAGACCAGGGGGCTGCCAGAGTTAACCTGCAGAGGGGAGGAAGGGAGACAAAAGCGGACAGCAGAGTAAGATAAGCACTGGACTGTGAACTGCAAGGTTGGCAGTTCAGACTCACCAGTCATTCCTTGGAAACTCTATACAGGGTTTCTATGAGTCAGAACTTAACAATAACAATAATAAGGGGTAAACATAAGCAGCAGCATGTGGGAATTACATTGGAAAAGCTACAAACTACTGCTGAGTGTGGTGGTGGTGGTGGTGGTGTGCTGCGGAGTCGGTTCTGACTCATAGTGACACTATAATATAAAAGAATATAATATAAATATAAAATATATATATATATATATATAATATAATATAGTATAATATAAAACATTTTCTTCAGCTTTTACAAAAGTGCCCTTTTGTGATTGACTTATTTCACTCAGCATAATGTCTTCCAGGTTCATCCTTGTTATGAGGTGTTTCACAGAGTCATTGTGGTTCTTCAACTTTGCATAGTATTTTATTGTATGTATGCACCAAAGTTTGTTTATCCACTCTTCTTCCATTGATGGGCATTTAGGCTCTCTCCATCTTTTTGCTGTTGTGAGGAGCATCAGTTTACATACATCTGCTCATGTCCTCACTCCTCTATTGCTATGGATATATACCAAGTAGAGAGATTACAGGGTCATATGGTATTTCTCCATTACTTGTCTGTCAGTTTTCCATATTGTGGTGGCTTACATGTTGCTGTGATTCTGGAAGCTATGCCACTGGCATTTGAAATACCAGCAGGGTCATCCATGGTGGACAGGTTTAAGATGAGCTTCCAAGTTAAGACAGACTAAGAGACAGACTACTTCTGAATGTTTAATGACTAAAAACCTTGTGAATAGCAGTGGAACACCATAAGCACCAGAATAGTGGATATTGAAACATGATGAGGAGCACCAGAATGTTGTCAGATATAGTGTTGGAAAAAGAAGTGTTGACTGTGATGACGCGAGTCGGGTAAAGCTTTTGGGACCTTCATTTGATGATGGGGCACAACTCAAAATGAGGAAAACCAGCTGTAAACATACATTAATAATCAAAACAGGGACTGTATGAAGTATGAATCTAGGAAAATTGGAAGTTGTCAAAAATTAAATGGAGTCCCATCCAGAACTCAAAGGGAACACATGAGCAGGCATGTAAGCTTGCTGGTGACCATGTTGGTCTACTGGTGAGTGGAAGAGGGAGAAAGGCAGCAATGAAGAAATGGGCTGAGTTCAACCATGGTCCATTGACTCCTGTTTGAACTGAAGATGAGAGAGAGAAGAGGAAGGGCTGGTTGGTCCAAAGTGTGATGAGACCTGAGTACTCCTAAGCCCAAGGATATACCCACAGAGTACTAGAGCTGAGAGTGAAGCATCCTGCTGATATGAAGTGAGGGGAGACGTATAAGAACACCCAGACTTGCAGAGAGTACCCATTTGACCTAGTCTCAATGGCTTGATAATCAGAATTCAACTAGAGGAAGATTTAAAAAAAAAAAAAAGTTTTTGATAAAGGAAACAAGTATAAATTGTTACAATTTGATGAACTTGACTTATACTTATGGATGTAGTAGCTCAAAATACCAACTGAGAGGGAAGGAATCTTTGCATTCAAGTATCAATCCTATCCCTTCTTATACAAGGTAGATAAGGATGGGCAACTTAAACATTGTCTACTTAAAATGAGGGGGTAATAAAGACACGAAGTGACTGATTTACAAGGTTTCAAGAGGGAGTTTAGTTTAAGAGTGTGCAGGGAATGGTAGAGTCCCCACTGAATAGTTTTTATCTTGTCTAGACGGGTTTGGTGAAAAGAGATGGGGATAAGATTCTTAAGATTCAATAGTGAATAATTGTTATCATGACTAATTGCGACTGTCACAACTGTAAAGGTAGAAGTTTTGTAACAAAAATGGGGAAGCAGTTAATCTTAGTCCAGGAACAGAGGGCCCTAGGACCATCAAGGGAGAAGAGCACAAGGAGAATGTGGGACCCTGTCCAGAGAAGCAACCAACACCGGAGATGGAGGCAGAGATGAAGACATGGAGAGAAGGAGCAGCTGAGGACGCTAGACTCATGGAAAGAGAGAGACTAGGTGGTGGCGGCCAGGAGGCAGACTTGCAGAATGTACCCTTTGGTTGTTTAAATTATTATATATTCCTGAGTGTTTTTGTGTACATCCAAAACCCCTCCCCCCCCCAAAAAAAAACAGCAGGAATGGAAGCAAATAACTGTTGAATGATGATGCACGGAGGAGATTGTAATCATTGCAATGAAACGATGGTATAAAAAAAAAAAACGAAATGGAATGCATAAATATCGATATCCTAGGTATTGTTATTGTTGTTGTTGTTAAGTGCCATCAAGTCGGTTCTGACTCATAGCAACTCTGTATAGGGTTTCCGAGGAACAAATGGTGACTTTGAATTGCCAACCTTACATTTCAGACCTTATCCTATGGTGCCACACCAGGACTCCATCTAGGAATTAGTGAGCTGAAATGAATTGGCATTGTTTATATTGAATCTAAGAACCACATGGTTTACTACACCGGGAATGACACAGTGACAGTAACACATTCATCATCAAAAAGAACATTTCAAGATCTGTCTTGAAGTACAACACTGTCTGTGATAGAATAATATCCATATGACTACAAGGAAAACCACAAGGTTGGTTGTTCAAAGACACCAGCTTCTCCTCAGAAATCCTATAATGGGCAGCTATGACTCAGGACTGAATTGACAGCACCTGGTGTGGCACTGTGGGTTAATGCACCGGATTGCAAAGCTCATTTGAGCCATCAGGTCAACAGTTCAAGCTCACCAGCCACTCCTCAGAAACCCTATTCAGGGTCATTATGGGTCGGAACTGACTCGATGGCACTTAACAACAAGGAAGACCAGTTAATACAATTATTATTTACATTTGTGCACCAACCATTAATGCCAGTGATGATGAAATTGAAGAATGCTACCAACTTCATCAGTTTGAAATTGATCAAACATGTAATCAAGATGTATTGATAATAATTGGTGATTAGAATGCAAAGATTTGAAAGAAAGAGTAAGGAGCAGTAGTTGGAAAATATGACCTTGGTGATAGAAATGATGCTGAAGATCACATGATAATATTTTGCAAGACCAATGACTTCTTCATTGCAAATACCTTTTTAAAACAACATAAAAGACGACTATACACATGGACCTCATCAGATGGACTATACAGATTCCAAACTGACTACATCTATGGAAATATGGTGGAAAAGCTCCATCTCCAGTTAAAACAAGGCCAGGGACAAGCTGTGGAACGGACCATCAGTTGCTCAAATGCAAGTTCAGAAAGAAGCTGAAGAAAATTAAAACTAGTCCACAAGAGTCACCTGAGTTTAGAGACATCTCAAGTACAGGTTTGATAAATTAGACACTAATTATTGAAGACCAGAAGAGTTGTGGGGTGACATCAAGAATATCATACAGAAAAAGGGAAAAAAAGAACATCATACAAGAAGAAAGCAAAAAGTCATTAAGAAAACAAGAAAGAAGGCAAAGACCAAAATGAATGTCAAAAGAGACTCTGAAATTTGATCTCCAGTATAGAGATGCTAAAGAAAATGGAAGAAATGAGGAGGTAAAAGAGCTGAAAAGAAAATTTCAAAGGACAGCTCCAGAAGAAAAAGTAAAATATTATAAAGAAATGTGCAAAGACCTGGAGTTAGAAAACCAAAAGTGAAGAACATGCTCAGCATTTCTCAAGCTGAGGGAACTAAAGAGAAAAATTTAAGCCTCAACTTGAAATACTGAAGGATTCTATGGTCAAAATATTGAATTATGCAGAAAGCATCAAAAGAAGATTGAAGAAATATAGTCATTGAACCAAAAAGAAATGGTCATTATTCAACCATTTCAAAAGGTAGCATATGATCAAGAGCCAATGATACTGGGAAGAAAGCCAAGGTACACTGATGGCACTGGCAAAGAGCAAGGCTCCAGGAATTGATGGAACACAAATGGAAACCTGTCAACAAACTGTTGAAGTACTGGAGGCATTCACTCATCTCTGCCAAGAAATTTGGAAGGCAGCTACCTGGTCAACCAATTGGAAGAGATCCATATTTGTGCCCATTCCAAACAGGTGACCCAACAGAAGGCAGAAATCATCAGACAATATCATTAATATCACACGTAAGTAAACTTTTGCTAAAGATAATTTAAAACTGGCTGAAACAGTACATTGACAGGAACTGCCAGAGTTGCAGTTAATAATGTAAAAGAGACCATATTGGCATGTGTAAATTCTTTAACAATGGGCTATATGGCAAGTATCAACATTTATAAGTGTCTTGACCTTGGTGGAGCTTATGTTGAGAAATAAAGTTTGTACTTATATTTTTATCTTTTAATTCCATTTCCCCACAATCCATTTTGCAGTCCCCTCATAGATGTGTATGTATGTATGTATGCTGTTGTTGTTGTTAGGTGCCATTGAGTTGGTTCTGACTCATTGTGACTCTGTATAAGGTTTCCAAGGAGCGACAGGTAGTTTTGAACTGTTAACGTTGTTATTAGCAGTTCAGTGCTTCTCCTATAGCACCACACCAGGACTCTTAGGTATATGTATGCATATATATAAGTACAATGGGGCTTCAAAAGTTCATGAAGAAATTCCACTACCCTTTAATTCCATTTTCCATAAACTTTTTGAAGCCCCCTAGTAGATATACAGGAGCTCTGGTAGCGTAGTAGATTATGAGCTGAGCCGCGAACCTCAAGGTCAGCAGCTTGAATCTACCAGCTGCTCTGCAGGAAAAAGATGAGGCTTTCTGCTCCTGTAAAGATTTACAGCCTTGAAACTACTATAAAGGGTCACTATGAGTCAGAATCAACTCCACGGCACATAGCCACCATGACCATTACAAACTTAATGTGTTTAAAGTGTGTCTGCAATCAGTGAATGGCTGCAGACAAGTTCTCTCAATAACACATTTGTCTTACTCTTGCTTT